AACCACATTCCTGTAAAGCTTAGAGAGGATCTCATGTTAAATACTGTTGAAGTAATATGGCTACAGGTTCATCTGCCTCACCTAAAGCCCATTCTTGTGAGAAGCTGCTATAGACCACCAAGTGCTAACAGTCAGTATCTGCATAATATGTGTGAAATGCTTGACAATGTACAGTGAGGGAAAAAAGTATTTGATCCCCTGCTGATTTTGTATGTTTGCCGACTGACAAAGACATGATCAGTCTATAATTTTAATGGTAGGTTTATTTGAACAGTGAGAGACAGAATAACAACAAAGAAATCCAGAAAAACGCATGTCAAAAATGTTATAAATAAATTTGCATTTTAATGAGAGAAATAAGTATTTGACCCCTCTGCAAAACATGACTTAGTATTTGGTGGCAAAACTCTTGTTGGCAATCACAGAGGTCAGACGTTTCTTGTAGTTGGCCACCAGGTTTGCACACATCTCAGGAGGGATTTTGTCCCACTCCTCTTTGCAGATCTTCTCCAAGTCAATAAGGTTTCGAGGCTGACGTTTGGCAACTGGAACCTTCAGCTCCCTCCACAGATTTTCTATGGGATTAAGGTCTGGAGACTGGCTAGGCCACTCCAGGACCTTAATGTGCTTCTTCTTGAGCCACTCCTTTGTTGCCTTGGCCGTGTGTTTTGGGTCATTGTCATGCTGGAATACCCATCCACGACCCATTTTCAATGCCCTGGCTGAGGGAAGGAGGTTCTCACCCAAGATTTGACGGTACATGGCCCCGTCCATCGTCCCTTTGATGCAGTGAAGTTGTTCTGTCCCCTTAGCAGAAAAACACCTCCAAAGCATAATGTTTCCACCTCCATGTTTGATGGTGGGGATGGTGTTCTTGGGGTCATAGGCAGCATTCCTCCTCCTCCAAACACGGCGAGTTGAGTTGATGCCAAAGAGCTCGATTTTGGTCTCATCTGACCACAACACTTTCACCCAGTTCTCCTCTGAATCATTCAGATGTTCATTGGCAAACTTCAGACGGCCCTGTATATGTGCTTTCTTGAGCAGGGGGACCTTGTGGGCACTGCAGAATTTCAGTCCTTCACGGCGTAGTGTGTTACCAATTGTTTTCTTGGTGCTATGGTCCCAGCTGCCTTGAGATCATTGACAAGATCCTCCCGTGTAGTTCTGGGCTGATTCCTCACCGTTCTCATGATCATTGCAACTCCACGAGGTGAGATCTTGCATGGAGCCCCAGGCCGAGGGAGATTGACAGTTATTTTGTGTTTCTTCCATTTGCGAATAGTCGCACCAACTGTTGTCACCTTCTCACCAAGCTGCTTGGCGATGGTCTTGTAGCCCATTCCAGCCTTGTGTAGGTCTACAATCTTGGCCATGGTGAAGAGTTTGGAATCTGATTGATTGATTGCTTCTGTGGACAAGTGTATTTTATATAGGTAACAAACTGAGATTAGGAGCACGCCCTTTAAGAGTGTGCTCCTAATCTCAGCTCGTTACCTGTATAAAAGACACCTGGGAGACAGAAATCTTTCTGATTGAGAGGGGGTCAAATACTTACTTCCTTCATTAAATTGCAAATCAATTTATAACATTTTTGACATGCGTTTTTCTGGATTTTTTTGTTGTTATTCTGTCTCTCACTGTTCAAATAAACCTACCATTAAAAATATAGACTGATTATTTCTTTGTCAGTGGGCAAACGTACAAAATCAGCAGGGGATCAAATACTTTTTCCCCTCACTGTATTTGAGACAGAATGTTTGCATAAGGGTGTTAGTTTCAGATTCTAGCAGAGATAGTGTTGTCATTTCAGACATTATTGTCAACTTTCAGTGAGAGGTTTGTTAAAGAAAGTACAACTCTTGAAAGAAGAGCCACAGATCCCTGTATACAGGAGGCCACTTCACCGGAAGGGAAGTTAGCTGTAGTAGTAGTATCACATCTCCTGCAGTGTGCCAAATGATAGGTGAGCATTGCTGTATATTCATACCCCAGGGTGAGGGTAACTTGACAATTGTAGTGGAACATCAAAGAGCTCAGCAGTGATCTCGCAAAAAAACACCAAATGAAGCGATTGCTTTGTGTGTGGTGATGAAGCATGCATTGATGTTTAATTCATATGTTCCTTTCCCCCTTCTGACAATGAATTGCACTATGTGAAGGTTTGAAATTCAATGAGAACGGAAGTCATTTACGATTGTAATGGAATAAGTGTAAGAAAGTCTTACATTTTCCCTCATGTTAATGCTTGTTTGATGAAAATGCTTGTAAGTAATTTCCTATTAGGTTGAGACTTAGTCTCAAAAGGGAGGATATGTGGAGGAAATATACTATGCTGTTTTTTACTTAACTAATTATCCATTGTTTTATGCTAGCATTTTTTACTGATACAAACTTGTCCTGTGTGACTTAGTCATAAATCTGAGCGTACAGGTTTATGAGCCGTTTGGGTGCGACCGCAGTATGTGACCTCCTGTGTTTACAATTGGGGGGGGGGGGGGGGGGGGTTATTTAGCTATGTGGGATTTGCAGGGAGGAACAGAGAATGGTGGCGATATCAGCTATCTTGATCTGCACAGATGAGCTAAATTACTTACTCTGGCCTGTTTCTGCACATATGCTAACTGTCACACAGATAAGAGGATGTACTTTCTATAAAAGGAGAGAGACAACTCTGTTCATTGGGCTTTTCAACTCTGAACTATTTGAGTGATTGTTGAATTGCTCCATCTTTGCAAATCTTATAATAAAGTTGCTGTTTGAAGAATCTACAGTCTCTCTCCTTTTGGAGATGGGCTGTTTTGTTAGACTTCAGTGCAGCTTTTGACATTATCTAACATAGTCTGCTGATGGAAAAACGTATGTGCTATGGCTTTACACCCCCTGCTGTATTGTGGATAAAGAGTTACTTGTCTAACAGAACACAGAGGGTGTTCTTTAATGGAAGCCTCTCCAACATAATCCAGGTAGAATCAGGAATTCCCCAGGGTAGCTGTTTAAGCCCCTTACTTTTTTCAACCTTTACTAACGACATGCCACTGGCCTTGAGTAAAGCCAGTGTGTCTATGTATGCGGATGACTCAACAATATACATGTCAGCTACTACAGCAACTGAAATGACTGCAACACTTAACAAAGAGCTGCAGTTAGTTTCAGAATGGGTGGCAAGGAATAAGTTAGTCCTAAATATTTCAAAAACTGAAAGCATTGTATTTGGGACAAATCATTCACTAAACCCTAAACCTCAACTAAATCTCATAATGAATCATGTGGAAATTGAGCAGGTTGAGGTGACTAAACTGCTTGGAGTAACCTTGGATTGTAAACTGTCATGGTCAAAACATATTGATACAACAGTAGCTAAAATGGGGAGAAGTCTGTCCATAATAAAGCGCTGCTCTGCCTTCTTAACAACACTATCAACAAGGCAGGTCCTACAGGCCCTAGTTTTGTCTCACCTAGACTACTGTTCAGTAGTGTGGTCAGGTGCCACCCCAGGAAGAGTAGCTGCTGCCTTGGCAGCAGCTAATTGGGATCCCTAATAAATACAAATACGTCACTTACCAAGGAAATGACCTCGACAACAGCATTTTTGGCAGTTAAATGCAACAAAACATTCTTATGAAAAACAATGTATTAATATGGTTTATAAACACTATCATTTGTTTGCAAGCTTGATAGCTGTACTTTTAGTTTATGGTTGACACACCTTGTTTGCCATTAGCCAATCAGCGTTCTCAACGAGTTCAAAGCATATGAACACACCCAACTCGTTGCTCCAAGTTTACAAGTAGTATTCTACAAGTTTTCCATTTGTTATGAACACAGCATTGGTGAAGGCCAATTAAAGATTGTAGTATTTTAGTAAGATTTTAACTACATTAATCTCAGGCTAACTACTGGATAATTTTTGGCTAGGCTGCTCAGGTAAACCCAGAAGTGTGCAAGGACCTCCAGATGGACACCACCTTCGGCAAAATGTAGAGAACCACTATCATAACCCTGGCTAAGGAGTCCACATATGTACAAGCAGTCTCCTCTGTCCCTTTGAGATGAATTACCTGAGTAAATAACATCAGACCTGAATGCCTTATATTCAGTGTGAGTCTGTGTTATGGATAAGATTATGGTGATTGTGTGCTCAGTGTAAATGCTTAACAGTAAGAATTGTTGTTTAAGCTATCGACTCCACAAGTTAGAACTGTTACCTGTACTACTCTGCATGAAACTGGGTTCCTTTAAATTAAGATGCAATTTTTATTTGCCTAAAGCAGATAAATCTAAAAGGATATAACAAGTCATACATTTGTCTTTAGCACTTTATTGCTTTTAAATGCTCTAAACTATTTTTGGTAAAAATAAAATGTATCAATCAATCACAAATAAAATAGTCACAATTACTTTACATGACATATTGCACAATGAAGCCGTTTTACAAAGAACATACACATGTAACATATTGGTCAGGAATGGGCACGACACTCTTCATTTCACAACTATTCACATTTTGTAAATCCTACTTGGATCCAAACCAAACAAAGTAATCAATCAAACAGCCTGGCTTTCTGCAATAGATCTTGGCAGTGGAACTGATTTGTCATTTTTGTCACAATTCAGCTACTGAACACCCCCCAGCCCCCCCCCCCCACCCCCCATTTTTTTTTTTTACGTAGTAACACGAACCGTAGCTTGTCTCCCTAGTTTGAGCTCTAAATAATAAAGTGCTTTCAGATAAAGGTACCTCAGAACAACAACAGAAAATACATTATCCATTTTGATTCAGTTTAGTCTCATTTTTAACTGTACCCTGCTGGAACATCATAGTACATCTGTGTTGATGTTATGTTTGTATTCATGATCTATCTATTGAGTAAAAATAACAAAATAAAACACATAATCCTGGTCAAAAGTGCCATTTGGGATGGACAGCCTTAAAATTAGGGTTCTGCTTCACATTAACCCTACAAAATCCTGTGTTGTGTATATATGGGCTCGCACCATCAGATCTGGTCCGTCTCCACGTTGAGTTCTGGACACAGCTCTTTGAGGATCATCTCCATCAGAACCTGAAACAGGGGCAGAGGAAGCATGTCAGGAGGACATTAAACAATACATCACTTCAGCCAGGAAGTGGAGGAGAGTATGTTCTGTGCATTTTGTTTCTACGCTTGCATGTACACTACATGACCAAAAGTATGTAGACAAATGAACATCTCATTCCAAAATCATGGGCATTAATATGGAGTTGGTCCCCCCTTTGTTGCTATAACAGCCTCCACTCTTCTGGGAAGGCTTTCCACTAGATGTTGGAACATTGCTGCGGGGACTTGCTTCCATTCAGCCACAAGCACATTAGTGAGGTCGGGCACTGATATTGGGTGATTAGGCCTGGCTCGCAGTCGGCATTCCTATTTATTCCAAACGTGTTTGATGGGGTTGAGGTCAGGGCTCTGTGCAGGCCAGTCAAGTTCACACCGATCTCGACAAACCCTTTCTGTATGGACCTCGCTTTGTGCACGGGGGCATTGTCATGCTGAAACAGGAAAGGGCCTTCCCAAACTGTTGCCACAAAGTTTGAAGCACAGAATCATCTAAAATGTCATTGTATACTGTAGCGTTAAGATTTCCCTTCACTGAAACTAATGGGCCTAGTCCGAACAATGAAAAACAGCCCCAGACCATTATTGCTCCTCCACCAAACTTTACAGTTGTCACTATGCATTGCGGCAGGTAGCGTTCTCCTGGCATCCGCCAAAATCCAGATTTGTCCGTCGGACTGCCAGATGGTGAAGCGTGATTCATCACGCCAGAGAACACGTTTCCAATGCTCCAGAGTCCAATGGCGGCGAGCTTTACACCACACCAGCCGACGCTTGGCATTGCGCATGGTGAACTTAGGCTTGTGTATGGCTGCTCGGCCATGGAAACCCATTTCATGAAGCTCCCGACGAACAGTTCTTGTGCTGACGTTGCTTCCAGAGGCAGTTTGGACCTCGGTAGTGAGTGTTGCAACCGAGGACAGACTATTTTTACGCGCTTCAGCACTCGGCGGTCATGTTCTGTCAGGTTGTGTGGCCTACCACTTCACGGCTGAGCCGTTGTTGCTCCTAGACGTTTCCACTTCACAATAACAGCACTTACATTTGACCGGGGCAGCTCTAGCAGGGCAGAAATTTGACGAACTGACTTGTTGGAAAGGTGGCATCCTATGACGGTGCCACGTTGAAAGTCACTGAGCTCTTCAGTAAGGCCATTCTACTGCCAATGTTTGTCTATGGTGACTGCATGGCTGTGTGCTCGATTTTATACACCTGTCAGCAACAGGTGTGGCTGAAATAGCCAAATCCATTAATTTGAAGGGGTGTCCACATACCTTTGTATATATAGTGTATGAGACTGACTAATACAGTGAGGGAGATCCTCCTATGAAGCTGGTCTGTGACTCACTGACACCTTCCCCTATTAGAGGGGGAGGTGTCAGTGAGGCAACCATAGCATTAAATAGTCACTCTCTCGCTCACAGAGTATTCCACCTATAACTTCATTGGTATAGCACAAATGGGAATGGTTCTGGAATGTACAGTACAAATACCCTTTCAAACCCATTCTCCCTCCCTTTGAGTGGTCTGACCTACCAGCAGTAATGTGATGCTGTTCTGAATTGAGCCACTAGGTGGATGCATTTGTGAAATTCCCAACAGAATAAGAGGTGTCTCTTTCAACCACCACCACAACAACAGCATGTTTCAGCATACTTGACCATTTCAGAGATGGTGAGGTGAACTTACATAAAGTAGATGCTTGTTAGCATTGGCCTCCTGAAGTGCGTTGAAGATCTTGATGATTCCATACCTGGCGTTCTGCTGTCCCACCAGGTTCTGTAGTGCATCTGGAAGACACAATTAACACACGTTATGTGGTTATCTTACCTACCTTAGCTGACTGTAACGCGCTATGGATAAGAGCATCTGCTAAATGACCAAAATGTAAACATAAAAATGTCCACATTCAGAGAACTATTCACAGATACCAGTCATGCCTAGGATAAACACATCTGCACTAGGACTAGGGCTCCTATTAAGCCAGACAGTTAACTCATGTACATACACATTAACGCTGTACTAAATCAAATAAAATGTTATTGGCCACATGCACCGAATACAACAGGTGCAGACATTACAGTGAAATGCTTACTTACAGCCCTTAACCAACAGTGCATTTATTTTTAACAAAAAAGTAAAAATAAAACAACAACAAAAAAAGTGTTGAGAAAAAAAGAGCAGAAGTAAAATAAAATAACAGTAGGGAGGCTATATATACAGGGGGGTACCGGTGCAGAGTCAATGTGCGGGGGCACCGGCTAGTTGAGGTAGTTGAAGTAATATGTACATGTGGGTAGAGTTAAAGTGACTATGCATAAATAATTAACAGAGTAGCAGCAGTGTAAAAGGATGGGGTGGGGGGGGGGGGGCAGTACAAATAGTCCGGGTAGCCATGATTAGCTGTTCATGAGACTTATGGCTTGGGGGTAGAAGCTGTTGAGAAGTATTTTGGACCTAGACTTGGCACTCCGGTACCGCTTGCCGTGCGGTAGCAGAGAGAACAGTCTATGACTAGGGTGGCTGGAGTCTTTGACAATTTTGAGGGCCTTCCTCTGACACCGCCTGGTATAGAGGTCCTGGATGGCAGGAAGCTTGGCCCCAGTGATGTACTGGGCCGTACGCACTACCCTCTGTAGTCTCCTGAGGGGGAATAGGTTTTGTCGTGCCCTCTTCACGACTGTCTTGGTGTGTTTGGACCATGATAGTTCGTTGGTGATGTGGACACCAAGGAACTTGAAGCTCTCAACCTGTTCCACTACAGCCCCGTTGATGAGAATGGGGGCGTGCTCAGTCCTCTTTTTTTTTCCTGTAGTCCACAATCATCTCCTTTGTCTTGGTCATGTTGAGGGAGAGGTTGTTGTCCTGGCACCACATGGCCAGGTCTCTGACCTCCTCCCTATTGGCTGTCTCATCGTTGTCGGTGATCAGGCCTACCACTGTTGTGTCGTCGGCAAACTTAATGATGGTGTTGGAGTCGTGCCTGGCCATGCAGTCATGGGTGAACAGGAAGTACAGGAGGGGACTGAGCACGCACCCCTGAGGGGCCCCAGTGTTGAGGATCAGTGTGGCAGATGTGTTGTTACCTACCCTTACCACGTAGTCCCAGGATCCTTAGCTTAGTGATGAGCTTTGAGGGCACTATGGTGTTGACTGCTGAGCTGTAGTCAATGAATAGCATTCTCACGTAGGTGTTCCTCTTGTCCAGGTGGGAAAGGGCAGTGTGGAGTGCAATAGAGATTGCATCATCTGTGGATCTGTTGGGGCGGTATGCAAATTGGAGTGGGTCTAGGGTTTCTGGGATAATGCTGTTGATGTGAGCCATGACCAGCCTTTCAAAGCACTTCATGGCTACAGACGTCAGTGCTACGGGTCGGTAGTCATTTAGGCAGGTTATCTTAGAGTCCTTGGGCACGGGGACTATGGTGGTCTGCTTGAAACATGTTGTTATTACAGACTCAGTCAGGGACATGTTGAAAATGTCAGTGAAGACACTTGCCAGTTGGTCAGCACATGCTCGGAGTGCACGTCCTGGTAATCCGTCTGGCCCTGCGGCCTTGTGAATGTTGACCTGCTTAAAAGTCTTACTCACATCGGCTACGGAGAGTGTGATCACATAGTCATCCGGAACAGCTGGTGCTCTCATGCATGCTTCAGTGTTGCTTGCCTCGAAGCGATCATAGAAGTGGTTTAGCTCGTCTGGTAGGCTTGTGTCACTGGGCAGCTCGCGGCTGTGCTTCCCTTTGTAGTCTGTAATAGTTTTCAAGCCCTGCCACATCCGACGAGCGTCAGAGCCAGTGTAGTACGATTCAATCTTAGTCCTGTATTGACTCTTTGCCTGTTTGATGGTTCGTCGGAGGGCATAGCGGGATTTCTTATAAGCGTCCGGGTTAGAGTCCCGCTCCTTGAAAGCGGCAGCTCTACCCTTTAGCTCAGTGCGGATGTTTCCTGTAATCCATGGCTTCTGGTTGGGGTATGTACGTACGGTCACTGTGGGGACGACGACATCGATGCACTTATTGATGAAGCCAGTGACTGATGTGGTGTACTCCTCAATGCTATCTGAAGAATCCCGGAACATGTTCCAGTCTGTGCTAGCAAAACAGTCCTGTAGCTTAGCATCTGCGTCATCTGACCACTTTTTTATTAACCGAGTCACTGGTGCTTCCTGCTTTAGTTTTTGCTTCTAAGCAGCAATCAGGAGGATAGAGTTATGGTCAGATTTGCCAAATGGAGGGCGAGGGAGAGCTTTGTATGCGTCTCTGTGTGTGGAGTAAAGGTGGTCTAGAGTTTTTTTTCCTCTGGTTGCACATTTAACATGCTGGTAGAAATTAGGTAGAACGGATTTAAGTTTCCCTGCATTAAAGTCCCCGGCCACTAGGAGCGCTGCATCTGGATGAGCGTTTTCCTGTTGATTTATGGCCTTATACAGCTCATTCAGTGCAATCTTAATGCCAGCATTGGTTTGTGGTGGTAAATAGACAGCTATGAAAAATATAGATGAAAACTCTCTTGGTAAATAGTGTGGTCTACAGCTTATCATAAGATACTCTACCTCAGGCGAGCAAAACCTTGAGACTTCCTTAGTATTTGATTTTGTGCACCAGCTGTTGTTTACAAATATACACAGACCGCCACCCCTTGTCTTACCGGAGTCAGCCGTTCTATCCTGCCGATGTAGCGTATAGCCCGCTAGCTGTATGTTATCCATGTCGTCGTTCAGCCACGACTCAGTGAAACATAAGATATTACAGTTTTTAATGTCCCGTTGGTAGGATAACTGTAATCTTAGGTCATCCAATTTGTTCTCCAATGATTGAAGATTGGCTAATAGGATTGATGGCAGTTTACTCGCTCGCCGTCGGATCCTTACAAGGCACCCCGACCTACGTCCACGATATCTCCGTCTCTTCCTCATGCGAATGATGGGGATTTGGGCCTTGTCGGGTGTCTGTATGATATCCTTCGCGGCCGCCTCGTTGAAGAAAAAATCTTCGTCCAATACGAGGTGAGTAATCGCTGTCCTGATATCCAGAAGCTCTTTTTGGTTATAAGAGACGATGGCAGAAATATTATGTACAAAATAAATTACAAATAACGCGGAAAAACACACATTATAGTACAATTGGTTAGAGGGCTGTAAAACGGCAGCCATCTTCTCCGGCGCGGTGATGAACAAGTGATGCTAATCAAGCATGCAATTACTACAGCCACGTCTGGTGTGCTCTATGCATCAGTCGACTTGATTAGCAGGAGGTTAGGTTTATTACTGCTTCTCCTTACGCTAGAACATGCAGTACAATGTCTACATCCCAAATGACACCCTATTCCCAATATAATGCACTGCTTTTGACTAGGGCCCCAAATTTGAGACTCAGACGCATCATTCCATGTCAGTTTTGTTCCATGCAAGGAGGGTGAACCGAGCCAGCTTGACGTCTGGAGAGTGATATCTTATGGAAACAATTAACTGAGGCTGTGTTGAGGACAGATGTGTGTAATTGCCCTCTCCAGCTCATAAGACCCATGGACAGACTGGTCCAGAGTCTTCAGTGTACATTTGTTTAGTGATCATGTTTTAATTAAAGCCTGGGAGAATTACAGACAAGAGACAACATTAGATGTCTTTAACGTAAACACTTAACTTGCTCCTTATACAAGAGTCAAAACAAGCTTCATCAGAAAAAGACAACCAAATTTAAAACAACACAAACATGATTTCAATAACTGTGCTTGCCATGTTCAGGCAATGTTGGTAAGTGTTACAGGTCTACTCCCGATTTTAAGTGCATCTATTTGCGTAGTATTGGGGAATTGAACCAGCGACTGTTGTTTAAGACCAATGGCAGACTCTACACCCCCCCCCCTCCTTGAGGACTGATCCATGACAGAGATAGATACAGTCTCGAGAAGTGAAGGGTTAACACACACCATCATGATTTTCTCACTTGTGGTGCAGGGAGTTACACCCCCAAAATCAACATTGTAGAATTTTTTAAAAATAACTCCTGCACACACGATTTTACCTCTGTAAATGTATTATCACATTTATTTCAAGACAAAGGTCTGACTGAAACATTGATAATACATGTGCAGAGATAGCAAGATTATGACAGGAGGGAGGACCTACCTGGGATATTGTCTAGCAGCTTCTGTTGTGCTCTCTCCTTGGTCTCCCGACGTTCTGAGTTGGACCGTGCCTTGATATGGGGGGCCAGTTTTCCGTTGGGCCAGAAAGTGTCCCGGAAAATGTTAATGTAGCAAACAAGCATCTGCTCACTGAAGATCCAGTTGACAGTGTCTCGAATTTGCCTGAGAGGGTAGGAGAGGGAGGGAGGGTAATTATGATGGTCTAGTCTGCACTACATTAGAGATTCTCTGGTACTTTTGTATACTTTTTAGCCAGTAGTTCTGAAAATAGCACTCACAAGCCAAAAGTGGTCCCTGAAAATTGTGTACTATGTCACATATGTGCAGATATGTGCACCACGTCATTGCTCTCTTTCTCTCTCTCTGCTGTGTCCACTGAGCCGTTGGGCCCGCCCTGCAACCTCATTGGATAACGCTGGGCAGAAATCTTGCTAGCTGTCACTCAAATGCGAGGGGCTGAAGTTCATTGGCAAGAACCCGAATTGCTAGGGGGCTGGCCCACGTGGGGGGAAATGTAGGGGAAACGGTACGGCACAGCTTCAAGAAAACAGTTCAAATGAAGGATTTAGTAGCTAATTGGAGGTAAGATAGTAATTGTGCTCATAGATTATACATGTATGAACCACATAGACACATCCAGCCCAAAGCAGGAGGTAAAAAAAAAATAATCTTAACCTCTACAGGATCGGGATGGTTGAGCTAACGTGCGCTAATGTGATTAGCATGACTGTTGTAAGTAACAGCAAACTTTCCAGGACATTGACATGTCTTATATGGGCAGAAAGCTTAAATTCTTGTTAATCTAACTGCACTGTCCAATTTACAGTAGCTATTACAGTGAAAAAATACCATGCTATTGTTTGAGGAGAGTGCACAACAACAAAAAACGTATCACGGCAACTGGTTTGACACATTCACCTCTGAAGGTAAATAACGTACTTACATTCAGTAATCTTGCTCTGATTTGTCATCCTAAGGGTCCCAGAGATAAAACGTAGCATAGGTTTGTTTGATAAAATCCATTTATATATTCAAATGTAGGAACTGGCTCCACACCCATCCCGTCCGGCCATCTAGATGTGTGAAAGTGTATAAGCTAATGATCCATCATGTGTGACATTCCTGGGAGTGTGTAAACTTACATTTTGTATTACCATATAATTTTTGTATGTTCTCTATAGTTACGTACTTGAAAATCTATCAATTGACCAATTCAGCACATTTGGGCAGACTCGAAAGAAAATAGTCCAGATTTGCAATGCTTCACTGGATCAATCTGAAACTTTGCACACACACACGTGCCTAAACTGCAATATTATATTGTGGCTTTTCTCTTGCATTTCAAAGAAAAAATTATAGAAAACCCATGTTGTTTTGTTTGTATTATCTTTTACCAGATCTAATGTGTTATATTCTCCTACATTAATTTCACATTTCCACAAACTTCAAAGTGTTTCCTTTCAAATGCGATCACGAATATGCATATCCTTGGCTTTAATTATAAAGGTTCATTGTATTGGTGAAAATGATCTACCCCAAACTTGAAACTCACTCGCTGCTTATGTATGCCAGTTAGGCTCTTAACCCCTTGTAAAGCAGATTAATGTGCTTAATTTTAAGAAGTTATTTGGCCAATTTAGTTGTGATACAAACCTTATCAAAACATATAGATCTATGGGCTAGGCTACATGAGGTGTGCGACTATGATTCGAAATAGTAAAAAAAAATTGGCTGTTTCTTATGCTGGGCATCATTCACAAGTAATATTGTCACCCATCAGACTATTCTTGATTTAATCTTGTCTTTACATATAGTAAATAATATATGTGAAATTAGTTTTGATTTAGAATGGACCATTATCATGCACCTGTCTTGAAACAGGTGGCAGAGCACGCTCCTTTTGTTAACGAACCTGGTACCGAATATTAAATATTTGTATTAACTTTCCACATACAGTGGGGAGAACAAGTATTTGATACACTGCCGATTTTAAAGGTTTTGCTACTTACAAAGCATGTAGAGGTCTGTAATTTTTATCATAGGCACACTTCAACTGTGAGAGACGGAATCTAAAACAAAAATCCAGAAAATCACATTGTATGGTTTTTAAGTAATTAATTTGCATTTTATTGCATGACATAAGTATTTGATCACCTACCAACCAGTAAGAATTCCGGCTCTCACAGACCTGTTAGTTTTTCTTTAAGAAGCACTCCTGTTCTCCACTCATTACCTGTATTAACTGCACCTGTTTGAACTCGTTACCTGTATAAAAGACAGCTGTCCACACACTCAATCAAACAGACTCCAACCTCTCCACAATGGCCAAGACCAGAGAGCTGTGTAAGGACATCAGGGATAAAATTGTAGACCTGCACAAGGCTGGGATGGGCTACAGGACAATAGGCAAGCAGCTTGGTGAGAAGGCAACAACTGTTGGCGCAATTATTAGAAAATGGAAGAAGTTCAAGATGACGGTCAATCACCCTCGGTCTGGGGCTCCATGCAAGATCTCACCTCGTGGGGCATCAATGATCGTGAGGAAGGTGAGGGATCAGCCCAGAACTACATGGCAGGACCTGGTCAATGACCTGAAGAGAGCTGGGACCACAGTCTCAAAGAAAACCATTAGTAACACACTACGCCGTCATGGATTAAAATCCTGCAGCGCACGCAATGTCCCCCTGCTCAAGCCAGCGCATGTCCAGGCCCATCTGAAGTTTGCGAATGACCATCTGGATGATCCAGAGGAGGAATGGGAGAAGGTCATGTGGTCTGATGAGACAAAAATAGAGCTTTTTGGTCTGAACTCCACTCGCCGTGTTTGGAGGAAGAACCGTGAAGCATGGCGATGGAAACATCATTCTTTGGGGATGCTTTTCTGCAAAGGGGACAGGACGACTGCACCGTATTGAGGGAAGGATGGATGGGGCCATGTATCGCGAGATCTTGGCCAACAACCTCCTTCCCTCAGTAAGAGCATTGAAGATGGGTCGTGGCTGGGTCTTCCAGCATGACAACGACCCGAAACACACAGCCAGGGCAACTAAGGAGTGGCTCCGTAAGAAGCATCTCAAGGTCCTGGAGTGGCCTAGCCAGTCTCCAGACCTGAACACAATAGAAAATCTTTGGAGGGAGCTGAAAGTCCATATTGCCCAGCGACAGCCCCGAAACCTGAAGGATCTGGAGAAGGTCTGTATGGAGGAGTGGGCCAAAATCCCTGCTGCAGTGTGTGCAAACCTGGTCAAGACCTACAGGAAACGTATGATCTCTGTAATTGCAAACAAAGGTTTCTGTACCAAATATTAAGTTCTGCTTTTCTGATGTATCAAATACTTATGTCATGCAATAAAATGCAAATTAATTACTTAAAAATCATACAATGTGATTTTCTGGATTTTTGTTTTAGATTCCATTTCTCACAGTTGAAGTGTACCTATGATAAAAATTACAGACCTCTACATGCTTTGTAAGTAGGAAAACCTGCAAAATCGGCAGTGTATCAAATACTTGTTCTCCCCACTGTAGTTGTCTAAGTATATTCTTGCATCCTTAATTAATTGATACCCTAGAAACTCATCATAACAGTGACAAACGGCAGGTTGTGACTAGGGCTGTTGCGGTGACTGTATTACCGCCACACCGGCAGTCACGAGTCATGAAGGCAAAAGGAGCATGCTCTGCCTCTTGCCATCCCAACTACTGAACAAAGAAAATATCTCAGTTTATATACCTTTCTTCAACAATATCTGTTAACCCTCAGTGGGCACTCCCTTCTTTGATGTTATTACCTTGTACCCCAAGTCAGTATATCATGTCCATCAATCATTTTAAGATAAACCTCAGTAATCTCCCTCGACATAATGGAATTCTTGGTCTTCAGACTGTTCGGCACCCAGAATCACTTATCTACTACATTTAACCTGGTTCCCACCACACTGTGAAATGACATAACAGTCACTCACTAACTAAAGAGTCCTCTCTCTCTGTCTCCACAGGGACACAGATAGCTGGGGTGACATGTTTTGATACAACACCACTCGCTGTTATATAGACCTCCATTGCTGTTATTGTCAAGCCAAACATTGGCATGACAATTAGTTACAAGGAGTTGGCATGATAGTACACAGACTGGCACACAGGCTACAACAAACCTACTGAAAATGCATTTTCTTTAGCAACTGGGTTCCTTTTAGCTTCAATTGATCGACTTTGCTTCACACACTAGCAGGCGATGAGAGCAGAGATCTGATGAAAAATGTCTAAAGAGATAATGATGCTTACTTGTTTATGGTCCTTCCAAACGTGACTTGAACTAGTGCAATTAGAGTTTTTCGTACCCATTTGAACACTGAGAATAAAGGAAGACAAACAATATCAGATTAGAGAGCGAGATCAGTGTTGCAAAGCTACTGGTAATTTACTAGTTACTGGAATCTTTAGTAATTAACAGAAAATCTATGGCAATCTATCGTAAAAATGTTTATTCATACATAGTAGCGCTGCGCCGAGTAGTCGGACAAAACGAGTATCGTAACGGATATGGGCAATATGCTGGATACAATTATGATCAGATTATTTGCTGTAATTATCCGTGATTGGGAAAATAGTTTTTTCGGGTGCCAGCAAGCATCTTTCTCATGTCAGTCAGTCACAAAGTTTCTAAACCATACTGTACTGTCTTTGAGCCAGTCATATGCGTGTTCCAAATAGCTCAACTGGCTAGTTTGCCTGACTGTAAAGAGAAGGGCAGGCTGTACATTGATCCTGCTGCTCTGATTGGATAGAGTGAAGCTGTATTTCTCTGTCCACTCGCTTCATCATTTCACCCAATAACTTTTCCTTGCTTGTTTTCGGTCTGATCATTTAGATTGCTGATGTTGCTATTACTATCACATGGTGAGGAAGTTTGCTATCAAGCTATCAATGTGCACAATATCTAACAAGTGAAACAAGGGTAGGGAGAAAATATGAAACACTAATGCGCATTCTGACTGTGTGACAGTAAACTTGGCTGCCTGCTGCAAGTTGAGGACACACAGACAGACACCCCTCTGCGCGCTGCTCCTAATCTGCTGCTTTTTTGCAGTGAGAACGTGCAGGGAAGTATTTTGCCAACAGCTATTTAGGCATATTAAAACACTTCTGTTTTATTCCAATCAGGAGTATCATCCGATCCAACTATCAAGTCAATTTACGGATACAATTATGAATATGAGTATGGCCAGGTCGGCACACCCCTAATACATACTATTCATTTTTTATATCTGTGTCCATGTTGTCCATGAGTTTCTAGTAGATAGACCATATGGTTCAAGAGAAAATAGGCTAATTAATGAAAAAAGCATGTAATCAACAATGGCATTATTTTCAATTAACTCTGCAACTCTTCCAACTATTCACTTTTCTTCACAACTGCCACCAGTTTTTGTACTTTAAAATCATCTTCTTTAATTATGTAATATAATTTACATGTGATAAGGCCCCACAGAGTGCCAGAGATAATTAGACAACCTGTGATAATCTGAAGTACCCAAAAGGGCTACTAGATGTCTTGTGATATATTCCATAAAATCCTTGAAAGATACCAAAATTCTGGTAGTTTACTAGTAAAGTTCGAAAGTTTCCAGTGATCTACCCTCCCTTTGCATCCCTATGCCAGACTGACAGCAAGACGTGACTCGATTAAACATCTGATTTGGTTTCCAATAACTACAAACAAGGATATAATCTTATTTATTTCAAAGTCGCTTTGAGCAATTACTTTGAATTTTCATCCCTGGTTTTAAAGAACACAGATGTTACCCCTCACAAAATACACAAACCACACACTCTACTGAGGTGAAAATGATTGTGTAGGGCCCTGGTCAAAGGTAGTGCACTATAGAGGGAATAGGGTGCCATTTGGGACGCAAACATAGTATAGTGAGGAGGCTCAACTCACTCCCTCGGAGCTCAAAGATCTCTCCTATGAGCATGAAACAGGGTTCAGCCAGGGCATCTTTCTTCCCATCCGCCTCGTCTCCATAGTCAGATAGGTCACTGTCATCCTCCGCCTCCTCCTGGTGGGGAAAAAGGAGTATGTGTGTGTGAGAGAGAGACTGTAAATTGGTATGCACTTCAGAGCACATGTTTGTGAACGCTTGTATGCATGCATGTATGTACGGTGTGTACAGTGCATTCGGAAAGTATTCAGACCACTTGACCTCTCCACATTTTGTTACATTACAGCCTTATTCTAAAATGGACCAAATATTTGTTTACTTCATCAATCTAAACACAATACCCCATAAAAAAACAGAATTACTATATTTACGTAAGTATTCAGACACTTTGCTATGAGACTCAAAATTGAGCTCAGGTGAATCCTGTTTCCATTGATCATCCTTGAGATGTTTCTACAACTTGTTTGGAGTCCACCTGTGGTAAATTCAATTGATTGGACATGATTTGGAAAGGCACAGACACGTCTATATAAGGTCCCACGGTTGACAGTGTATGTCAGAGCAAAAACCAAGCCATGAGGTTGAAGGAATTGTCCGTAGAGCTCTGAAACAGGATTGTGTTGAGGCACAGATCTGGGGAAGGGTACAATAATTGTTCTGCAGCATTGAAGGTCCCTAAGAACACAGTGGCCTTCATCATTCTTAAATGGAAGAAGTTTGGAATCACCAAGACACTTCCTTGAGCTGGCCGCCCAGACAAACTGAGCAACCGGGGGAGAAGAGCCTTGGTCAGGGAGGTGACCAAGAACCTGATGATCACTCTGACAGAGCTCCAGATTTTCCTCTGTGGAGATGGGAGAACCTTCCAGAAGGACAACCATCTCTGCAGCACTCCACTAATCAGGCCTTTATGGTAGAGTGGCCAGACTGAAGCCACTCTACCAGTACAGAGAGATCTTTGATGAAAACCTCTTCCAGAGCACTCAGGTCCTCAGACTGGGGCGAAGGTTCACCTTCCAACAGGACAACGACCCTAAGCACACAGCCAAGACAATGCCGGAGTGGCTTTGGGAACAAGACTCTGAATGTCCTTGAGTGGCCCAGCCAGAGCCCGGACTTGAACCTGATCGAACCTCTCTGGAGAGACCTGAAAATAGCTGTGCAGCGACGCTCCCCATCCAACCTGACAGAGGTTGAGAGGATCTGCAGAGAAGAATGTAGCGTCATACCCAAGAAGACTTAAGGTTGTAATTGCTGCCAAAGGTGCTTCAACAAAGTACTGAGTAAAGGGTCTGAATACTTATGTAAATGTGATATTTCAGTTTATTTTTGCAGAAATTTATAAAAACCTGTTTTTGCAACTGGGACTGGAGGACCTTCAGACGAGTCTTGCGAAACAACCGACATGTACGTGTTCGTGAGCCTCACCTTTCTACAGAGGGGTCATATTCGTGTGTAGCCTAAACTGTTCGGACTCTACAGACAGAAGTTGGCAGATCGGCTGTACCGACTTCAGACGAGTACCAAGATGCTTGTGGGAAACATTGAGCAAATCGGAGAACACCATTGTGTTCGTTAGAGTCTCATCTTTCCATAATAGTTTGTAGGCCAAACCGGTCGGATGCTACAGACGATTTTGTGAGAAGGCAGATTTTCGGGACGTCTCATGGTCTGACAAACACCGCTCTAGCTCTGTCACCGCAGATGCGGAAGTGCGACATAGATAGGTGGTTGCGGTGGATTGGATATCTATCTTAAACTGACAGATTTTAATGGGAATGTTTTCATTATGCTAATTAATTAGATTGCCGCTCAAAACATAATGCTTTGTATTCAGATCATGATGTTCATTTCTTTGCCACATTTTTTTGCAGTTTGACTTTAGTGTCTTATTGCAAACAGGATGCATATTCTGTACAGGCTTCCTTCATTTCTGTAATTCATTTAGGTTAGTATTGTGGAGTGACTACAATTATGGTTGATCCATCCTCAGTTTTCTTCTATCACAGTCATTAAACGCTGTAACTGTTTTAACATCACCACTGTCCTCATGGTGAAATCCCTGACCGGTTTCCTTCCTCTCTGGCAATGGAGTTAGGAAGGACGCCTACATCTTTGTAGTGACTGGGTGTATTGATACACCATCCAAAGTGTAATTTTAAATTCACCATGATCAAAGGGATATTCAATGTCTGCTTTTTTTGCTTTCCCATCTATCTTTGCGAGACATTGGAAAACCTCCCTGGTCTTTGTGGTTGAATCGGTGTTTGAAATTCAATGCTCGACAGTGACCTTACAGATAATTGTAGGTGTGGGGTACAGAGATAAGGTAGTCATTCAAAAACACCATTACTGCACACAGAGCGAGTCCAAGCAACTTATTATGTGAATTTTTACTTCTGATCTTATTTAGGCTTGCAATAACAAAGGGTTTGAATACCCATTGACTCAAGACATTTCAGCTTTTCATTTTTCATTAATTTGTAAAAATGTCAAAAAACATAATCCCACTTTGACATTATGGGGTATTGTATGTAGGCCAGTGACACAAAATCTCAATTTAATCAATTTTAAATTCAGGCTGTAACACAAACAGAATGTGGAAAAAGTCAAGGGGTGTGAATGCTTTCTGAAGGCACTGTATGTATGTATGTATGTATGTATGTATGTACAGTGGGGAAAAAAGTATTTAGTCAGCCACCAATTGTGCAAGTTCTCCCACTTAAAAAGATGAGAGGCCTGTAATTTTCATCATAGGTACACATGAACTATGACAGACAAAATGAGAAAAAAAATCCAGAAAATCACATTATAGGATTTTTAATGAATTTATTTGCAAATTATGGTGGAAAATAAGTATTTGGTCAATAACAAAAGTTTCTCAATACTTTGTTATATACCCTTTGTTGGCAATGACACAGGTCAAACGTTTTCTGTAACTCTTCACAAGGTTTTCACACACTGTTGCTGGTATTTTGGCCCATTCCTCCATGCAGATCTCCTCTAGAGCAGTGATGTTTTGGGGCTGTCGCTGGGCAACACGGACTTTCAACTCCCTCCAAATATTTTCTATGGGGTTGAGATCTGGAGACTGGCTAGGCCACTCCAGGACCTTGAAATGCTTCTTACGAAGCCACTCCTTCGTTGCCCGGGCGGTGTGTTTGGGATCATTGTCATGCTGAAAGACCCAGCCACGTTTCATCTTCAATGCCCTTGCTGATGGAAGGAGGTTTTCACTCAAAATCTCACGATACATGGCCCCATTCATTCTTTCCTTTACACGGATCAGTCGTCCTGGTCCCTTTGCAGAAAAACGGCCCCAAAGCATGATGTTTCCACCCCCATGCTTCAAAGTAGGTATGGTGTTCTTTGGATGCAACTCAGCATTATTTGTCCTCCAAACACGACGAGTTGAGTTTTTACCAAAAAGTTATATTTTGGTTTCATCTGACCATATGACATTCTCCCAATCCTCTTCTGGATCATCCAAATGCACTCTAGCAAACTTCAGACGGGCCTGGACATGTACTGGCTTAAGCAGGGGGACATGTCTTGCACTGCAGGATTTGAGTCCCTGGCGGCGTAGTGTGTTACTGATGGTAGGCTTTGTTACTTTGGTCCCAGCTCTCTGCAGGTCATTCACTAGGTCCCCCCGTGTGGTTCTGGGATTTTTGCTCACCGTTCTTGTGATCATTTTGACCCCACAGGGTGAGATCTTGCGTGGAGCCCCAGATCGAGGGAGATTATCAGTGGTTTTGTATGTCTTCCATTTCCTAATAATTGCTCCCACAGTTGATTTCTTCAAACCAAGCTGCTTACCTATTGCAGATTCAGTCTTCCCAGCCTGGTGCAGGTCTACAATTTTGTTTCTGGTGTCCTTTGACAGCTCTTTGGTCTTGGCCATAGTGGAGTTTGGAGTGTGACTGTTTGAGGTTGTGGACAGGTGTCTTTTATACTGATAACAAGTTCAAACAGGTGCCATTAATACAGGTAACGAGTGGAGGACAGAGGAGCCTCTTAAAGAAGAAGTTACAGGTCTGTGAGAGCCAGAAATCTTGCTTGTTTGTAGGTGACCAAATACTTATTTTCCACCATAATTTGCAAAAAAATTCATTAAAAATCCTACAATGTTGTTTTCTGGAATTTCTTTTCTCAATTTGTCTGTCATAGTTGACGTGTACCTATGATGAAAATTACAGGCCTCTCTCATCTTTTTAAGTGGGAGAACTTGCACAATTGGTGGCTGACTAAATACTTTTTTTCCCCACTGTATGTATGTATGTATGTATGTATGTATGTATGTATGTATGTATGTATGTATGTATGTATGTATGTATGTATGTATGTATGTATGTATGTATGTATGTGTGTTAGTCCCTCCACCCTTCCAGCCAGTCGGGCAGGTCTCCTGATGTGATGGTGCTAACTAACCTCTGTGTGTGAGAAGAAGTCTCCAGGCAGTCTCTCCAGGAAGGAGGCCAGGGAGAAGGAGGATTTCTTCTGGATGTCCATGACCTTCAGGTGCTCTGGGGAGGGGCTGAGGAAGGCATAGAGCGCCTCGCTCTGACACATCCACTCGTCTGTCAGCATTTTCTACACAGGGTGAAGAAAACAGCTCCACGTTAGACTGTCTATGTCTGAAATGGCACCCCTTTCCCTATATAGTGCACTCATTTTGACAAGGGCCCATAGGGCTCTGGTCAAAAGTAGTGCACTATATTTGGAATAGGGTGCCATTTGAGACAGTCAATTCTAATGACATTGGAAGCCGACTACTGCAAATCAATCAGACAAACATAAATCATTATCATCACTGTAATGCCTTTCATTATTATCATCACCATCATAACTATCATTGTTGTTAAGACATCTAAAGTATGTGCTCCATCTTCAACTTTGTCATTGATTCTCATCTCCAAACTGAGTACAGTACATTTTTCTTTTGTCTAAATTTTCAGTCTCCAGACAGTGAAATAGCTTAGCTTGAAATCCTGATGGCCAATTGACATGCAGTGAGAACAGCAGGGACGAGCCACTCCAATAACGCATTTTCATCTCCTAGCAGACCAAACTATTCTGATGTCCTACGGCTGAAATGAGTAAACAAACTACCTGAGCTCCCACTAGTAGCTATACGTGACATCTCATCAACTCTGACGACATCTCGGGTGCATCCCAAATGGCACCCTATTCCCTATATTGTACACTACTTTTTATCAGGGACCTGCTCAAAAGTAGTGCACTACATAGGAAATAGGGAACCATTTGGGACACATACCATCCTGTTCTGAAAAATTATGCCCTCAGGAGATTGATACTGAGAAATGCATTCCACATTAACCAAAACACTGATTTGTGTGATAGTTTCACTATAATTTGTGGTTGACCAGTGTTGGCAGATAGTGACTTACTTGTAAAAAGGTATTGAGCTGGATTTTGGACTTCTCAATGAATTTTTGGTCGATTGATTTGAATGGCAGTTTACTGATGGAGGGAAGCTGGACTTTTTTCAAGGTTGGGAAACACTGCAGAAAGAATAAAGAATGAAAGAGATGAGACGAGTGACAGACACAGAAAGAGACAGAGAGCGCATGAACAGCAGCATAGCATTATGAGCTCCTGAAATGTCATCATTTTTAAAGTGAGTAGCCAAGGAGAAAAAAAGGGAAAGAGAACAGTCAGCTATTTTCTTGGTCTTTCACTACATTTAGGAGAGCAACCCCTGAACTAGGCTAGAAACTAGAAAGAACACTGGGCAGTTTGAATTTCTCCCCTTTTCTGATCGAGTGCAGCATCAGCCTCCACCCTTCCCACGCCAAACTGCAGAAGCAGAACAGCATCCCCTCCCCAGCATAGCTGCAGCAGCATTAGCCCTGTGAGATCATACCCCCTCTACACTGAGGCCATTCCAATATAATACTACCCCGCAGAGGCCAAAAACAATAATCAATAATACATGCAAACAGCACAAGCATAAACATTTGAGGGAGACACCAGAGACTCTGTTTGCAGACCTATACAATAATAATATAATATATAATATGCCATTTAGCAGACGCTTTTATCCAAAGCGACTTACAGTCATGCGTGCATAAATTTTTAAAATAAACAGAGACATCAGCAACCTAATTATCTTCACAGAGCAGCCAAGTGCATGGCACTGTGCAGTAAAGGCCTACTACCCCTCAGGTAAAAGAGAGGGAATTTGTAGTGGATGGAAATAACAAATCTGAGAGACAACCATCAACATGTACAAAAATGGGATCATCCGGGTGCAGGTTGACATTATTTCAATAAAGGAGAGAGCCCAGCAGGATAAGTCCACTCCAGGCTGCTCCACAGATGAGCAGTCCCCAGAGGAGAGAGACAACCCCCAGCTCAGAACAGGCAGAGCCATCTCTACACAGCATCATCAACAACCTGACGAAGAAGTTTGCCCTGATGGAGGTAGAGCAGGTGCTGCACAGGGAAAATCTGAACAAACAACAGCCAGACACAGACACCTTATAGGGGCCCACAGCCAGCACAGAGACGACAGCAGCCTCACAGCACAGCTGAGGGACATGCAACGGGAGAAACTCAAGAGAGAACTGGCTGATCATACAGCAGAGGTGAGAGCTGCAGAGAGACAGAGAGAACTCTAAAGCTGAGGTGGCTATACCTTGACAGCAGCTGCAGGACAGAAAGAGAGAACTGTGTCCCCTAAATACGAAGTTGGACACCCACCTTGAGCTCTGTCCCAAAACAGCAGAGGAGTCCTCTCTAAGCAGCCAGATCGTTAAAGCCCACCCTACACCCACAATTCACAGGACAGCATCTCAGACACATCAACACCAGCCCAGCCCAGCTCTCCCTCTCCCCCAACCACCCCAGCTCCAACACCAAAACCACCAGCCCCCACTCTACTCCCTCCAGCCTCGAGGATAGACTGGCTGACATCATCCTGTTGATTGACTTGAACGGGAAGTTTGTTCATGAGAATAAACTTTCCATAATCATAAAACAAAAAAGAAGGTGTGGTGCCCCACAACAAAAAGTGCAATGGAGCTGCTCGTCAAGGCCCAGCTCGGGTCGCCAAGCCACATCATAATACACACAGGGAGCAAAGACCTGTGGGCCCAGCAGGAGAGGGTGGCCACATCATAATACACACAGGGAGCAACGACCTGTGGGCCCAGCAGGAGAGGGTGGCCACATCATAATATACACAGGGAGCAACGACCTGTGGGCCCAGCAGGAGAGGGTGGCCACATCATAATACACACAGGGAGCAACGACCTGTGGGCCCAGCAGGAGAGGGTGGCCACATCATAATATACACAGGGAGCAACGACCTGTGGGCCCAGCAGGAGAGGGTGGCCACATCATAATACACACAGGGAGCAACGACCTGTGGGCCCAGCAGGAGAGGGTGGCCACATCATAATACACACAGGGAGCAACGACCTGTGGGCCCAGCAGGAGAGGGTGGCCACATCATAATACACACAGGGAGCAACGACCTGCGGGCCCAGCAGGAGAGGGTGGCCACATCATAATACACACAGGGAGCAACGACCTGTGGGCCCAGCAGGAGAGGGTGGCCACATCATAATACACACAGGGAGCAACGACCTGTGGGCCCAGCAGGAGAGGGTGGCCACATCATAATACACACAGGGAGCAACGACCTGTGGGCCCAGCAGGAGAGGGTGGCCACATCATAATACACACAGGGAGCAACGACCTGTGGGCCCAGCAGGAGAGGGTGGCCACATCATAATATACACAGGGAGCAACGACCTGTGGGCCCAGCAGGAGAGGGTGGCCACATCATAATACACACAGGGAGCAACGACCTGCGGGCCCAGCAGGAGAGGGTGGCCACATCACTGAGGAGGGTAATAGAAAGGGCCACCACCACATTCCCCAACACCAAGATTGTGGTGTCCACTCTTCTCCAGAGAACAGACTTTCACCCCGCCACTATACAACGCATAAACGCACTGCCTCCCCCGGGACTGTGCCCTGCAACCAAATGTACACATGGCCCACCATCCTACCCTCCACCTGGACTGCCTCTACAAACATGTACATATGTACAAAGAGGTAGTCTCCACCTTCACCAGAACGCTGAAGGACGTGGCCCTAGGACACTCGCCCACGACATCAACAGGAACGGCAGACCAGCCCCCACCCCGCAGAGACCATTCCCACACCCCAGCAGACCTGCACCCAGAGACCTCCCGCCGAGGAGTACCGCCGACCACACCACCTCCCTCAAACAGCCGCCCACCTGAAATCCCCCCCCAAACCAGCTACAGATACCCCCCCATGGGCTTCACCAGGCCAGGCGTGAGCCACTCCTGCCCCCTCAGCACCTTCACTCATGCAACAGGAGCCTCACCCAGGCAGACAGAGCTACGCAAAGGCGGTTGGAAGAGCAACAGGCCTAAGGTCCCTGGTCTTAAGAGCAGGAACCCAGATTGTATTACAAAAATAGGATATTCAGACATATACTACCGGTCAAAAGTCAAATGTATTTTATATTTGAGATTCTTCAAATAGCCACCCTTTGCCTTGATGACAGCTTTGCACACTCTTGGCATTCTCTCAACCAGCTTCACCTGGAATGCATTTCCAACAGTCTTGAAGGAGTTCCCACATATGCTGAGCACTTGTTGGCTGCTTTTCCTTCACTCTGTGGTCCGACTCATCGTAAACCATCTCAGTTGGGTTGAGGTCGGGGGATTGTGGAGGCCAGGTCATCTGATGCAGCACTCCATCACTCTCCTTCTAGGTAAAATAGCCCTTACACAGCCTGGAGGTGTGTTGGGTCATTGTCCTGTTGAAAAACAAAATGATAGTCCCACTAAGCCCAAACCAGATGGGATGGCGTATCACTGCAGAATGCTGTGGTAGCCATGCTGGTTAAGTGTGCCTTGAATTCTAAATAAATCACAGACAGTGTCACCAGCAAAGCACCCCCACACCATAACATCACCTCCTCCATGCTTTACGGTGAGAAATGCACATGCGGATAGCATCCGTTCACCCACACCGCGTCTCACAAAGACACGGCAGTTGGAACCAAAAATCACCAATTTGGTCAAATGTCCATCGCTCATGTTTCTTGGCCCAAGGAAGTCTCTTCTTCTTATTGGTGTCCTTTAGTAGTGGTTTCTTTGCAGCAATCAACCATGAAGGCCTGATTCACACTGCCTCCTCTGGACAGTTGATGTTGAGATGTGTCTGTTACTTGAACTCTGTGAAGAATTTATTTGGGCTGCAATTTCTGAGGCTGGTAACTCTAATGAAATCATCCTCTGCAGCAGAGGTAACCGGGTCTTCCATTCCTGTGGTGGTCCTCATGAGAGCCCGTTTCATAATAGCGCTTGATGGTTTTGCGACTGCACTTGAAGAAACTTTCAAAGTTCTTGAAATGTTCCTTATTGACTGACCTTCATGTCTTAAAGTAATGATGGACTGTCGTTTCTCTGCTTATTTGAGCTGTTCTTGCCATAATATGGACTTGGTCTTTTACCAAATAGGGCTATTTTCTGTATACCACCCCTACCTTGTCACAACATAACTGATTGGCTCAAACGTATTAAGAAGAAAATAAATTCCACAAATTAACAGGCACACCTGTTAATTGAAATGCATTCCAGGTGACTACCTCATGAAGCTGGTTGAGAGAATACCAAGAGTGTGCAAAGCTGTCATCAAGGCAAAGGGTGGCTATTTGAAGAATCTCAAACATAAAATATATTTTGATTTGTTTAACACTTTTTTGCTTACTACATGATTCCATATGTGTTATTTCATAGTTTTGCTGTCTTCACTATTATTCTACAATGCAGACAATAGTAAAAATAAAGAAAAACCCTTGAATGAGTAGTTGTTTTAAAACTTTTGACCGGTAGTGTAATTGTTTTACAGGAGACGAGGAGTAGATGGATCCACTGGTTGTCCAGTGACCTTCATGTCTTAAAGTAATGATGGACTGTCGTTTCTCTACTTATTTGAGCTGTTCTTGCCATAATATGGACTTGGTCTTTTACCAAATAGGGCTATTTTCTGTATACCACCCCTACCTTGTCACAACATAACTGATTGGCTCAAACGCATTAAGAAGAAAATAAATTCCACAAATTAACAGGCACACCTGTTAATTGAAATGCATTCCAGGTGACTACCTCATGAAGCTGGTTGAGAGAATACCAAGAGTGTGCAAAGCTGTCATCAAGGCAAAGGGTGGCTATTTGAAGAATCTCAAACATAAAATATATTTTGATTTGTTTAACACTTTTTTGCTTACTACATGATTCCATATGTGTTATTTCATAGTTTTGCTGTCTTCACTATTATTCTACAATGCAGACAATAGTAAAAATAAAGAAAAACCCTTGAATGAGTAGTTGTTTTAAAACTTTTGACCGGTAGTGTAATTGTTTTACAGGAGACGAGGAGTAGATGGATCCACTGGTTGTCCACTAGGATACAGGGTAATGGTGGTCCCATCCACCAACTTGAGAGGAGTCACCCAGGGGAGGGAATCAAGGGGAATGCTGATTTGGTTCAAAACACAGCTAATAGAACTAATCAAAACAGGAGAATTCTTCATTTGGCTGGAAATCTAAAAGGAGGCCATCTCCACTGACCCAAATTTCTTTGTGAGTGCTACATACACTACATGACCAAAAGTATGTGGACACCTGCTCTTCGAAACATCTCATTCCAAAATCATGGGCATTAATATGGAGTTTGTCCCCCCTTTGGTGCTATAACAGCCTTCACTCTTCTGGGAAGGTTTTGCACTAGATGTTAGAACACTGCTGCGGGGACCACAAGAGCATTGGTGAGGTCGGGCACTGATGTTGGTGGATTAGGCCTGGCTGGCAGTCAGCGTTCCAATTCATCCCAAATGTGTTCGATGGGGTTGAGGTCAGGGCTCTGTGCAGGCCAGTTAAGTTCTTCCACACCGATCTCGACAAACCATTTCTTTATGGACCTTGCTTTGTGCACAGGGGCATTGTTATGCTGAAACCAGAAAGGGCCTTCCCCAAATTGTTGCCACAAAGTTCGAAGCACAGAATCGTCTAGAATGTCATTGTATGCTGTAGCGTTAAGATTTCCCTTCACTGGAACTAAGGGGCCTAGCCCGAACCACGAAAAACAGCCCCAGACCATTATTCCTCATTTACTAAACTTTACAGTTGGCACTACGCATTGGGCCAGGTAGCGTTCTCCTGGCAACCGCCAAAGCCAGAATCGTCCGTCGGACTGCCAGATGGTGAAGTGTGATTCATCAATCCAGCGAACGTGTTTCCACTGCTCCAGAGTCCAATGATGGCGTGCTTTACACCACTCCATCCAATGCTTGGCATTGCGCATGGTGATCTTAGGCTTGTGTGCGGCTGCTTGGCTATGTAAACCCATTTCATGAAGCTCCCGACGAACAGTTCTTGTGCTGACGTTGCTTGTGCTGACGTTACAAAATGTTTTGACAAATTGCCATCCCTTATCCAATTTAAAGAAGACAAAAAAGACAAATAATGAAAATATTATGACTGCAAATCTATAAGAAAAAAAAAATAAACATAAGAGAACCAGACAACCAGGATACGCGCCTTCAGTATTGGGGAACCCTAAAAGAATACAAACAGACTCTCAGAACATAAAAAGAACACAGACAACTTACTGAAATTGAGGGAACTTCTGGGAAAATTTTAACTCTAAACAAACCACACAGAGAATAATTGGCTATCCAAAATGGTGACCTATGGAGAAATCATTTTGAAGAACTATATAGAAATATTACTATGAATTTGAAACAAAAAAGAATATATGAAAAACCTCAAATAAGCCATTAAAAACTGCAAGAACCCTCCGGATTCCCCAATAACAGAAATACAGGCCGTGTCACCCAAAAAGGCTTGTGGTCCTGATGGAATATTAAACGAAATAATAAAATACACATGCCATAGTGAAACTTTTTAACAAAGTTTTGAGTGTAGGCTATTTCCTTGACATCTGGAACCAGAGACTAATAACATATTTTTTTATGGAGACAAATTGGACCCAAACAATTATCGTGGTATTTGTGTCAACAGCAACTTAGTGAAAATATTATGTACCATCATGAACAGCAGATTACTGCACTTTCTCAGTGACCCCAATGTTCTAAGCAAAAGCCAAAATGGATTCCTACCAAATTATCGAACATCAGACCATATTTATACATTACACACCCTAATTGATAAACATGTCAATCAAAACAAAACTAAAATGTTCTACTTTGTAGGTTTCCAAAAAGCATTGGATTCAATTTGGCATTTTACTCAAATTAATTTAAAGTGGTGTTGGAGATAAACATACAGATTTATTTTCCCAAGGGCGTGGAGTAAAACAGGGGAGCAACTTGAGCTCAAGTCTATTTAAAATCTATATAAATGAATTGGCCAAAAAGCTTGAGCAATCAACAGCCCGGGGCCCGGTCTCACTCTTAACGACACAGAAATAAAATGCCTCCTGTATGCAGATGACCTGGTGCTGCTGCATCACACAAAAGAGGGACTATAGCAACAATTACAATTCTGTCAGACCTGGGCACTGACAGCCAATCTCAAAATGACAAACAACATGACATTCCAGAAAAGGTCCAGATGTCAGTTAAACCAATATACTTTTTTTACTGGGCTGAGGACTCTACTCATATAGAACACACACACCTACACATATTTGGGACAAAATATGAACTTCAACCTGGCCGTGAATGAACTGAAAGACAAAGCAACGAGGGATTTCTATGCCATTGAACTATCTATTAAATTAGACATACCAATTAGGATCTGGCTCAAAATTATTCAAATCAATAATAGAACCAATTGTACTATATGGCAGTGAAGTGTGGGGTCCGCTTACAAAGCAAGAATTTGACAAATGGGACAAACACCCAATTGAAACCCAGTATGTGGAATTCTGTAAGAGCATGCACAGAGTACATTTTTTTACATTTTAGTCATCTAGCAGACGCTCTTATCCAGAGTGACTTACAGTTAGTGAGTGCATAAATTATTTCATACTGGCCCCCGTGGGAATCGAACCCATAACTCTGCCGTTGGAAGGGCCATGCTCTACCAACTGAGCTACAGGAGACCTGAGTACAGAGAAAAACTCCAAACAAAGCATGCAGAGCAGAATTAGGCCAATTCCCTCTTCTCATTAATATCCAAAAAAGAGCCACTAAATTGTATAATCATTTAAAAACAAGTGACCCCCAACTCCTACCATTAGAAAGCCCTCAAATGCCAAGAGGTGACCATAGAGAAGAGTTCCCTCAGTCAACTGGTCCTGAGGCTAAGTTCACTAACCATTACCAACCGAACAAAACCTCAGGACAGCACTCAGAAAATCTTGCCTGAAGCAAAAAGCAAAGCTAAAAATACAGTATATCACCTACTGGAAAGACACCACACAAAATCTAAGTAAACTTCAGTGATATTTGGCTCTAAACAGACAGTACATGACAGCAGACTATGTGACCACTGAGACTGATAGAAAGCTGAGAAAAACACTGACTATGTACAGACTCAGTGAGCACAGCCTGGCCATAGAAACCGGCCGTCACAGACAGATCTGGCTACCCAGAGAGGACAGGTTGTGCTCACTCTGCCCTCAGAGAGAACTCAAGACTAGGGTTGAATTTTTTCCCGGTATTTTGCAAATGTTCCATCATGAGAATAAATCACTTTTCTCCTGGGTAACCCGGTATTTCCCGCCAAAACCGGGTGTGTCATTCAAAAGCATTAAAAAGCATATAAATGTCTGGATTTGATTGGAGCTTCAATTCAAACCTGATGCTACATATATTAAATAAATAAACAACATTTAATGAGCCCAAGCCCAAAAATATATGATGTAGGCTACTGCACATTACACACGACAGAAAAACATAAAAGCCCATAGATGTACAGTAGCTAGCTATATGCTAGTTCCTCAGAGCAAGGAGAAGGTCCGGCAATACTTCACTAAGGTGGGCACAAAAACACACACATACATTCTGGCTGACCCATTTGCCTAAAATAGCAACTTACTGTAAGGATCAGTCTAATGCTGCGGTCATAACTTCTCGTAAATTCGTAAATGCCAGCATGCGACTGGGAAAAATCCACTTGAATGTCCCTCCAACTGGTAATACTAGCGGGAAACTCGTCTATCAGTCTGAGCTCTGACTTCTCCCATGCTGAAGTCTTTATTTTAATTTTATTTTGTGGTACTTTTGACCCCTTTTTCTCCCCAATTTCGTGATATACAAATTGGTAGTTACAGTCTTGTCGCATCGCTGCAACTCCTGTACGGACTCGGGAGAGATGAAGGTCGAGAGCCATGCGTCTTCTGAAACATGACTCTGCCAAGCCGCACCAATGTGTCGGAGGAAACAATGTACAACATGTCAGCGTGCATGCGCCCGGCACGCCACAGGAGTCGCTAGAGCGCGATGGGACAAGGGCATCCCGGCAGGCCAAACCCTCCCCTAACCCGGACGATGCTGGGCCTTTAGGTGCCTTTATGCAAACTCCAAGCAGGCTGTCATGTGCCTTTTACTGAAGATTGGCTTATGTAAAATAAGGTATCTGTATTTTATTTGTAATACATTTGCAAAAAAATCTAAAAACCTGTTTTCGCTTTGTCATTATGGGGTATTGTGTGTGGATTGATGAGGGGAAAACATTATTGAATCCATTTTAGAGTAAGGCTGTAACGTAACAAAATGTGGAAAAAGTGAAGGGGTCTGAATACTTTCCGAATGCACTGTAAATCATTTATTATAATTTACCAGTTTCTCACAGTTTATCCCGGGAAAAGGTTTTGGGCGGCAAATCCCAGTAAATCTTGCTAACCGGGTTCCCGCCATTCAACCCTAGTCGAGACAGAGCTAGATTTTCTCCTACACTGCCAGAACTATACAGGCAACTTTCTACCCCAAAATGTAAAACAAATACAACGAGTTTGAAACCAAAACAGAAAAGGAGAAAATCCAATATCTATTGGGAGAAAAACCCCTTTGTGCCATATTAGCAGCAACATATGTAGGTCCCTGCCACACCCGTAGGGACAGCCAGTGGAACGACCAACCAGAGCAAAAACATTGCTACCTGTGTCTTTCTCACTACTTCATTACTGTGCTCATTCATTTCTTACTGTACTGTCCTTTTAATTGTTATTACTCAGAGTATTATTTTTCGTATTATTATCTATCTGCGTCATCATTGATTTAATGTGTGTCTATATGTTTGCTTTGGCAATGTATGCGGTAACACTTTCCATGCCAATAAAGCATTTAACTGAATTGAGACAGAGACAGATACAGTGAGACAGACACAGAGAGAGAAAAAATGAGCAACAGCGAGCGTCAGAGAGTGACAGAGAGAGCCAGAAAGACATAGAAGAGAGAGAGACGGAGAAAGAAAGAGAGAGAGAGAATAGAGAAAACAAGAGGGGTTACGTTTCAGTCTTCATGTCTCGTCGATCTCCACGGCAACCGGCCAGTGGCAGCATTGTTAGGGGTGATTATCAGATCGCAGGCAGTGATATTTGAAACAAACGGCTGTGACGTAACAGCACTAGACTGCTGTATTTAAATGGCTGTTGTTGGGGGGCAAACAGAGGCTGTATCCCAAATGGAAACCTATTCCCTTTAATCCCTTCATAGCGCACTACTTTTGACCAGAGCCTTATGGGCCCTGATCTAAAGTAGTGCACTATAAACGGAATAGGGTGCTATTGGCTAAGAGCGTCTGCTAAATGACGTTAATGTGCCCTTGAGCAAGGCACTTAACCCTAATTGCTCCTGTAAGTCGCTCTGGATAAGAGCGTCTGCTAAATGACTAAAATGTAAATGTAAATGTATTTGGGACTCGACCAGAGAGACGGGTTAGGCAGCAGCATTGGCATGGAGGAACCTTTACCTCAGTCAGTTTCCGGTGCAGGGCCTGGAACTCTATCAGCTTCCTGGTGACGCTCCATCGGCTGTTCTTAGAGTCGTCCCCCTCCAGCAGGCTCACTGAGACGCAGTAGCACGGCATCTGTTCCCCGTTCTCCTCCACTGCCTGGTGGGGGATAGAGGGGCACAGTGGGTATCATCTTCCTTTATTTCACTGCAAAGCCCTCTTTTTTTCCAAACAAATATTTTCCTTGATTTTTTCTACACAATCAGAGACACAACAATGCCAGAGAGTATTTGTTCATGCATGGTTAGAGTTAATGGTCAATGGTGACAGTAAGGTGAGAGCAATGTTTGAGTTTATAGTCATAGAGTACAGACACCGTATCAATGAGAGCATGGTAAGAAAACATTCCAATGAAGACAATTAATTAACTCAGATTAAAGGCCATTTGTGGAAGGGTGGCTGATTTGCTCATTGCCTTAAAGGAAAGATTCACCCATTTTGAACGTTATATCGTAGTTGTGCATCTCTGAGCGATGATGTTCTATCGATTCCTGGGGTCATTTCATGTTTTCATGTGTATCTGAGCTATTCGCCATTTAAGCAGGCAGAAATACAGCTTTGCATGATGGCTGTATTTCTGCCTGCTTGAACAGCGAATATCACGGTATATCATACTGTCCCACTGTATTTTTCTCATTTTTGACGGTATTTGATGTTTCTGAATAATAATAATAATAATTCTAAACATGCTTTATGGGTAGTGCATGACACTAGGATTGCAACAAATTAATTTTAAGTGGTTTTAATGTGGGCTTTCTCCATTCTGATTGCTTTATACTTTTCAACCAAAAATAATAGCAGGACAAAACTGACAGTGAAGTAGTCCTATTTGTAGAACATTGCATAGGAATCAACATTTTTGTAGCCTCTAACTCTGGTACTTGACCAATGGTTTTATTTGCTTAGTTATTTGTTCAATTCCAGCATTTTTATCAATTTCTTCATTTCCTGCACTATTTTGTTAGAATTTACACACTGTGTCACGTTTATTTTGTCGTAGTATGCCTCTATTTCGTTAGAAACAGAATAATTGTCCTCTGACTGTGCATTTCAGATTCAATTGCAGTTCTTACTGTTCAACTTCGGGAGGGCAACTTTGCCAAATAGAGACCGCACGGAATCGGCCAACTACACCATGTGTGTGTTTGACAGGACGCTGCTGCCTGGTGGTTGTTGTCGATCAGGTGTGCGTGTTTGTTTTGTGTTTAGTTTGTGTGTGTGTCCCACTCACCTCAGCTGTGGTGATGAGGGCCCTCCAGGAACCCAGGTTTTCACACCACCAGTCTGTGCGGGAGATGTGCAGCTGCAGGTCGCTGTGCTCCTTCTCCATGGCCCTGATCTCCTCCTTCAGCTTACACACAATCTGAGAGAAGAAAGCACACATGGCACCGCGCAGACACACACACACAGTCAAAAAATCCATCTCCCCCAGACACAGTACCAACCTGCTAGAAAAAAGAGACAGCTGGCCTGTGTCTCATTCAAGAAAGTGGCTGTTCAGTCAATGTAATTTGTCAAGGGCTACTTGTATTAAAGGCAGGCGCAGACATCCTTTCAGGGAACATTTAATGGGTTCTTTATTAATGCCAGCACAAAGACAGAGAGAGAGGTAAAAATAGTGTGCTTGGCTTGCAGGTGAATGATAGCAGCACAGTCGATGACGTGCTTTTGTATGTGTCTCACGTTCTATTAGATCGTCAAGTAGCCATAAATAGAGAGGATGCAACCTTGAGGGTATACTCGATATCAGAGTACATAAAAACACCTTATAAAACACACTGTCACACCCTCTGCAAAGCAGACAGCATGCAACATTAACACTATTCACTCCATAGAAAATCAAAAACACAATCACCATGAACTGAAACAATAGCAGCTGAGAGGTGTGGTGGGGTACCTTTTTGTCTGGCTTGGGGGCGTTTTGGATGGAGCCTAGGGCCTGGCGTTTGTACTCCAGCTTGTCGTAGAGCTGTCGCAGCTTGTTGGCAGCGTAGCTGGCCTGCTCATTGATGCCTTTAGTGCCTTCGTCCAGCGCCTCTTCTCCTCCATCCAGAACCTGGAGCTGTGCAGAGGGGTGGAGGTTTATAAGATGATAATAATACAACTGTGTGAAGAGCTTGACACAATGCTAATGGTCAACACTTTATCCATCTTTTTTATACTTGCAATAAGTCTGATGACTCGCATAGTAAATGTGCATCCTGTCTGTACAAATATATACGCAGGAGCGTATGCCGGCTGGCTGGTGTGTGTGTCTGTGCATGTCTGCTTCAGTGTGTGTGTCCTCTCCCCAGCTCACCCCTTCGTCCTTGTCCTCACTGCTGGACTGGGAGCTGCTGCGCTGCTCCTCTCTCCTGATGAGCCTCTCGTAGAGGTCAGAGACCAGGAACGAGGGGTAGTAGCGCTCCTTCATGGTGTCATACACATCCCACTGGATCCGGTGGAACACGTCAGTGCCCTTGTTCCCCACAAGGGTCTGCTGGATCTCCTTGTACAGGGCCTTCTCCACCGGGATCTCCCTGCTCTCCACAAAGAAGTTCTGGTAGATCTCACCCACCAGCTGGGGAACCTCATTCTGGGAAAACAACAGGAGTCAGAATGGGCACTGGGTTTTCAGCTTTAATAGATGTGACAGACTCCGATGTGTTTCATCCAAATGTTCAATTTAGTCAAAAATGGCACTGGTCTCAAAGAGTAAAACTACCAGTCAGAGATATTTTACAAAGGATGTCAATTCTAGTCAGTAACACTGGTTTAACGTTTGCTTTTGGAGAATGTGACAACGTTACCTTGTTGGCAGTCTTGAGCATCTCCACTAGCTCCCAGAAGCTGATGAGAGCCCTCTTGTCCACTCGCTCCATGTAGACACGGAAGTGCTCCCGGAACCCCGGGTTGGACATGATCTCCTCAAACTGTAGGATCTACAGGGGACAGAACCCACCACTGGGGATTTAGATAAATGTACCTATACTGGTCCCAGTGGACAGCACCCTATTCCCTTTATAGTACACAACCTTTACACCAGGGCTAATAGGCCAATGGTCAAAAATAGTACACAATTTAGGGAATAAGGTGGCATTTGAGATGCATTAAGTGTCTGTTGGGGCTGGGGTTGGGCTGTGAATAAGCACCCTGCCAGGCAATTAATGCCATTGATTTGAAGGACAGCTAGCCAATTTAAAGGTGACAACAAAAACTAACAGAGTGGAGCGCGGCTCAGTGCGGTGAGGAGACCTGGGGTTGTTCATCACAGCTAGACACAAACCCTGTGATTGTCAAAAACATTGCGAGCTCAGCCATCGTGGGACAAATGGGCCAATGTTCCAACAGGATGGGCAGGGCGGGTGACACTGGGCTCATCCCAAATTGCACCCTATTCCCTATATAGTGCACTAATTTTGTGCACTATGTAGGGAATAGGGTGCCATTTGACAAACATCCACACTGAACTCCAGATGAATAGGGAGTGCCAGGCCCACATCCATTAAAGCCCAGTCTCACTGCAGAGGAGTCAATGTAATGTTTAACCCATAAGAGTCTAAGCCCTGTCTAAGCTGGGGGAGGGGGGGGGGGTTCTAATAAGATATATGGAAATATTTTAAGAAGGTCATACCAAGGATCATTTTGCTATTTGATTTAGAATTTTAAGACCCCTTGAAGTATAAAAAATGATTTAAAAAAATATTTGCTGAACACTTTCTTGGGCCCCAACTGTTATTAGCCCATACAAACGCACTAAATAACAGATTCACTACATGTAACAACAGATAATCCCCCCCAAAAAATCAAAAGGAAGTATGTTCCTAAGTGTCTGTCCTATAGCTGTGAGATATAAGAAAGATCAGGAAACATTTATTTTTTTACATAATTTTTGGCACTAAACAGTCTCTATATAAATTGTTCTAAAATAGATGTTTAAAAAAATAATCCTCATCAATCTACACACAATACCCCATAATGACAAAGCAAAAAACAGTTCATGTTTGCAAATGTATTACAAATAAAAAACTGAAATATCACATTTACATAAGTATTCAGACCCTTTACTCAGTACTTTGTTGAAGCACCTTTGGCAGCGATTACAGCCTCGAGTCTTCTTGGGTATGACGCTACAAGCTTGGCACACCTGTATTTGGGGACATTCTCCCTTTCTTCTCTGCAGATCCTCTCAAGTTCTGTCGGATGGGGAGCATCGCTGCACAACTATTTTCAGGTCTCTCCAGAAAGGGTGGCTATTTATTTAAAGAATCTCAAATATAAAATACATTTTGATTTGTTTAACACTTTTTTGGTTACTACATGATTCCATATGTGTTATTTCATCGTTTTGATGTCTTCACTATTATTCTACAATGTAGAAAATAGTAAAAATAAAGAAAAACCCTTGAATGAGTAGGTGTTCTAAAACCTTTGACCGGTAGTGTAGACAGGTGTGTGCCTTCCCAAATCATGTCCAATAAATTGAATTGACCATAGGTGGACTCCAATCAAGTTGTAGAAACATCTTAAGGATGATCAATGGAAACAGGATGCACTGGGGCTCAAATTCAAGTGTCATAGCCAAGGGTCTGAATCATTATGTAAATAAGGTATCTGTTTATTGTTTTTAATAAATTTGCAAAAAATTCTAAAAACCTGTTTTCGCTTTGTCATTATGGGGTATTCTGTGTAGATTGAGGAAATGTTTTTTTTTTTTTTTTAAATCAATTTTAGAATAAGTCTAACGTAACAAAATGTGGAAAAAGGGAATCTGAATACTTTCCGAATGCCATTCATTTTTTTAACTGGTAATTTTTTCAACTGGTACCGGGGGACCTTCAGACGAGTGTTGTGAGGCCTGTGGGCGTCCTAGAGCAAATCGACATGTACGTAGTAGTGAGAGTCTCACCTTTCCACAGAGGGTTCATATTAGTGTGTAGCCCAAACTGTTCGGACGCTACAGACAGAAGTAGGCAGATCGGCTGTACCGACTTCATACGAGTCCCAAAACGCTTGTAGGTGTCATAGAGCAAAACGCAGAACACCATCGTGTTCGTGAGTCTCATCTTTCAATAGAGTGGTAATAATAGTTTGTAGGCCAAATCGTTCGGACGCTACAGACTATTTTGTGAGAAGATTTTTGGGATTCTCATGGTCTGACAAACACAGCTCTAGATCTGTCACCTTTCACCGCAGATGCGGAAGTGCGACAGAGGCGGATGCGGTGGATTGAGACTCATCCAATGCAAACAGATCTCTCTAGCTTAAATCGACGGATTTGCGTGCCTGTGCGTGTGCATGCGTGCGAGTGTGTGTAACGTTACCCTCTGGCTCTGGGGCCCCTCTCCCTCGTCCGTGGCCCCCTCCTCCTGCTGTTCGTAGTTGGGGCCCCCCAGGAGGCGGATGCGTTTCTCACACTGCTTCTTGGCCACGGTCAGCTGGTTGATGTAGCGCTTCATGTTGCGTGCTCTGAGCAGGTCAGCCTTCATGGCTGCAGTCTCCTTCCCTTTACTGTCTGTAGGGTTAAGTTGGAGGAGTACAACTTAGTATATCAAAAATATATATAGTGGATCATTTAAATACCACCACCGATGCCACAGATACTTTAATCCAAAGATTTTATAAGTCAAATCAAGTCACCAAAGACTGGCTAGCGCCTTCGGCAATCACCAGAGAAATCAAAGGCAAAGCTGCTTCAGATAGTGATGGAAAGACTAGACGAGTTTCTTTCTCAACCTTGAAATTAGAACAATAAAACTAGCTACCTCAGAAGACAGAGAGAACAAGAGAACCCTCAGGTCTCAGACAGATGGGGGATGATGGGACATTAATCCTTCAGACAAATCGACACTCCAGCAATCTTTCAAGTTCCACAGACAACTCATGAAACTTCTACTCTCACCATGAGGTCTCTGGATGGACTAGAGGAGGGTGGACGAGAATATATCGCATTACGTTTTGGAGGAAACGTCATCTACCTCTCTCCACACAACTTAATTTCCCCACTCTATACAACCAACAATGTAGCGGTTCCCAAACTAGGACTCGCAACGATATAAAAATTGGGTCGCGGGAGAATTTCCCAAATCCCCATTTTTTAAAAACACAAATATATCTATAAAAATATAGTCTGTCTCTCAAAATCATTATGTGGTTCATCTTAGAAACGAAATGAAAATAATTGAAATATACAGTGCATTTGGAAAATATTCAGACCCCTTAACTTTTTCCACATTTTGTTACGTTACAGCCTTATTCTAAAATGGATGTAATTGGTTTTTCCCCCTCATCAATCTACACATAATACCCCATCATGTTTGTACATTTATTAAAAATAAAAAGGAAATATCAAATTTACTTAAGTATTTAGACCCTTTCCTCAGTACATTGTCAAACCACCTTTGGCAGCGATTACAACCTTGAGTCTTCTTGGGTATGACGCTACAAGCTTGGCACACCTGTATTTAGGGAGTTTCTCCCATTCTCATCTGCAGATCCTCTTAAGCTCTGTCAGGTTGGATGGGGAGCTTCGCTGCACAGCTATTTTCAGTTCTCTCCAGAGATGTTCGATCGGGTTCAAGTCTGGGCTCTGACTGGGCAACTCAAGGACATTGAGACTTGTCCCAATGCCACTCCTGCGTTGTCTTGGCTGTGTGCTTAGGGTCGTTGTCCTGTTGGAAGGTGAACCTTCGCTCCAGTCTGAGGTTCAGAGAAGGTTTTCATCAAGGATCTCTCTGTACTTTCCACTGTTAATCTTCCCCTCGATCCTGACTAGTCTCCAAGTCTCTGCCCCTGAAAAACATCCCCACTGCATGATGATGCCAGCACCAGGCTTCATCGTATGGATGGTATTGGCCAGGTGATGAGCGGTGCCTGGTTTCCTCCAGACGTGACGCTTGGCATTCAGGCCAAATAGTTAAATCTTGGTTTCATCAGACCAGATAATCTTGTTTCTCATGGTCTGAGAGTCCTTCAGGTGCCTTTTTGCAAACTCCAAGTGGGCTGTCATGTGCCATTTACTGAGGAGTTGCTTCCGTCTGGCCACTCTACCATAAAGGCCTGATTGGTGGAGTGCTGCAGAGATAGTTGTCCTTCTGGAAGGTTCTCCCATCTCCACAGGGGAACTCTGGCGCTCTGTCAGAGTGACAATTGGGTTCTTGGTCACATCCCTGACCAGGGCCCTTCTCCCCCGATTACTCAGATTGGCCAGCTCTAGTAAGACTCTTGGTGGTTCCAAACGTCTTCCATTTAAGAATGATGGAGGCCACTGTGTTCCTGGGGACCTTCAATGCCGCATAAATGTTTTTGTACCCTTCCCCAGATCTGTGCCTCGATACAATCCTGTCTCGGCACAGACAATTCCTTCGACCTCATGGCTTGATTTTTGCTCTGACATGTACTGTCAACTGTGGGACCTTACATAGACAGGTGTGTGCCTTTCCAAATCATGTCCAATCAATTGAATTTACAACAGGTGGACTCCAATCAAGTTGTAGAAACATTAAGGATGATCAATGAAAATTAAATTGAATCCATTTTAGAATAAGGCTGTAACGGAACAAAATGTGGAATAAGTGAAGGGGTCTGAATACTTCCCGAATGCGCTGTAAAATTCAACCAGAGAGTGCCCTTAGATTGTGGGAAAAGGCCACACTTGACCGTTGCACTTCAATTGTTATGATTCAAGGGCAACAGTCAAGTATGGCCTGTCGAGAGGTCATGTGACCAAATGCTGCAGACAACGCGGAGGGGCGGCATGTAGCTTAGTGGTTAAGAGCGTTGTGCCAGTAACCGAAAGGTCGCTGGTTCTAATCCCCGAGTCAACTAGGTGAAAAATCTGTCGATGTGCCCTTGAGCAAGGCACTTAACCTTAATTGCTCCTGTAAGTCGCTCTGGATAAGAGCGTCTGCTAAAATGACTA